AATTCCTTTCCTAATTGCGCAGCAAAATGAATGGAAAGGATTTCAGCATGAAAACAGGGTCCTTTAAAAGTAAGACCTTCAACCCACTATCTCTGAGGACAACTCCAAGGCGCATAACTTCCTGTCCCATGGGAATGGCAACATCAATGTTTATTTTAAGAACAGTGATTGGTACACACTCTGATTCAACATATTACATGACATATTTATTAAAAAATTATTATTTTTTAATCTAAAATTAAAGACAGACAAATTTAGTAATACAATCATACACATAGGATACATGAACTGGTTGAATTAACTGCAATTTATATTATATTTTTAATGACTAAACTGAAAATATATCAAAAAATATATTAAACCGAGGGTGTACCAATCATTTTTCTTATTTTAATAACACCTTCCCTCGGCACTTCCCAACTATGCAGGTCTCTATGGGAACCTGCAGCCTCATTGTTGGCCACAACTACATCATCCCCTTTTATTTTACTTAATTTTTTGCAGTTTTATGTGCTAAATGGTAATATCTTATATGTTTGTAAATATTATGGAAACACATCATGCTACACCACCAATCACGGCTCAGTCACCTACACAGGATATCAGATCCTAATCATCCTTACAATCAGCCATTGCTAATCATATATTCTGCATTTATAAAGTTTCATTGTATTATGTATGTTGCTATTTTTACAAGCTCTTTCCATTTGTGTTAGGGCAACACCTCACTTGTATATATGTATAACTTCTGTGAATGAATCAAGTATCTTTCCCTCTCAATCTCTTTTTCTTCACCCTATTAGTAAAGCGATTACATTTGAACCTTTGTTTGAGGGTTGTATTGTGTTTCGAAGTATTTCTTATACTCCTAAGTAATGTATTTTCTATTTGATTTTGTTGATAAAAAAAAAAAACATCATCCTCTTTCATAATGTAATTTGATTATAGAAGATTATTCTTAATAAGATTCCACGAATAGAAGATTTTCAATCACGTGCTCGTTAGTAATTTGCATGGGATGGACAAGATTTTTGAGATTGTAAACATTTTTATTTTTATGAACATAAACTGAAATAGCATTTTCTCTTTCTTTGAATTACCCTACAAAAAAAAAAAATAAATTGAAAAGGTCATTTTCCTAGTGGTTTCTAGTGTAATAATTAGACTAACAGTGAACCAGTTGACTGTCAGGAAACAATATTCAAAGAGGAAACCATTTTGTTGGTGTTTCACGTTTGCTGGCAACTAGATCATCACCGTTGACCAAACCAAATTTGTATTATTCATTAACTCTAATTGGATAGTTTAAATATTTCAGATTATAAATAATATTTAATAATTATTAGTTATAATATATTGACTATCAAACTATTAGTAACATTTGAGTAACTAATTCAAGCACAGCTTAAAAGTTCATTTTTAATACTTTGTCAAATTATATTATTAAATGAAAACCTAAAAACATACCAACTGTTCAAAACAATATTACATCTTATAATATGTAGAATGTCCAATAACAGTGGCCAGCCACCAAATAAAAAATTACTCCCTACTTCAACTTTAGTAAATTTGGATACTTATTTAGGGTTTTTAAATTTAATTGTCTATTTTTTTATATCATTTAATGTGTTTATTTTTATTTTATTTTTGTTTTAAAAAGATGATTATAACATATATTAAATAAGAAAATCTTTTTTAAAAGCTACTTAATTAAGAATAAATATGGAATTTTATTAGTAAATTATTATATTTTTATTTTATTAAACAAAAAATTAAATCTACTAAAAATAAACAGAAAGAGTATATATATATAATGTTCATTGTTCAAGTCTTGACTAACTTGGGAGTGAAAAAGACTAGAAAAAATTATGGCTAAATTTTGTTTCATTAATTGTTAGGTATTACATCCTCCGTTCACTTTTAATAAACTTAATTTAACTTTTTAATTTTTTAGACATTAATTTTAAATAAAAATTTAATATGTTATATAAATGATAATTGAAAATTTTGATCAAATAAAAACACTCAAAAGGAATTTTATATAGAGAAAATTTTCAATTACTGTTCATATAAGTGGTTAAATTTTCATTTGAAATTTATATCCAAAAAATTAATAAATCAAAATAAATCTATTAAAAATAAACAAAAGAAGTTTTA